TTCAAGACTGAGGAAAAGGCTGGCTGAGTGGCTCAGTTGGTTAAGAGCTTGCTCAAGAGTTTGAACTCTGAGCAACAGCAGTTTGATTCCCGGCCCGAGCTGAGCAGTTGCTGAGCTGCCAACAGTTGGCAGGATGTCTCAGCTTAAAAAAAAAAACAGAAATGAGGAAAAGCTGAAAGTAAAAAAAAAAAGGGAATCCCTCCCAGCTAGCTCTTCTCCAAGTAGTCTTTCAGGAAGCCCCTTTTGAAAACTTCTGCTTACATCCAATGACCCAGAACTTAATCACATGGCCAAATTTAGCTGCAAAGGAGGCTGGGAAATATAGTCTTTTAATTGGGCACATTGCCTCTGCTCTTCTCTCTGACTAATATAAGCCAGCAGTTCTTAACCTTTTTTGTCTTGGAAACCCTTTATACCCTTGCAATTTATTGAGACATCCAAAGAGCTAATTTTTACGTGAGTCATATTAGTATTTTACATATTAGAAATGAAAACCAAATAAAATACTTATTCATTATACTTTAAATATCTTATAATTTTATTTGTCAGCTATACCTCAATAAAACTGGGGGAGAAAAACAGCTCCAAACCCTCCAAATATTTTTTTAAATAAAATTACAATCATAAATCATTTGCATGTTAAATAACATATTTTTCAAAGCAAAGAAAGTAGCGTGAGAAGAGTGTTATTGTTTTCCATTTTGCAAACTTCTTTAATATTTAACTTAATAGAACACAGCCAGATTCTTATATCTGCTCCTGCATTTAATCTGTTGCAACATGTTGTTTTGTTACATATAGAGAATCTGGTCTCACATAGATATAGACTTGGAAAATACAAAAATATTTTAAAAGATTTCAGATAATTATGGGTATTATTCTTTGATGCTACACCAAAACTCACATGGTAGTTTCTTAAAGGCTAGTTTTAGTGTAAAATCTAAATCATGTCAATGAGTATTTTGTACTCTCTTACATTAAAATCCATTGGTCTGTCTTGCACAGTGAATCCATTTTTTTGCCTGTGTATGATTCTGTAATACCATGTAGTGGTCACATGGAAAATATTTGTTCACTGAGTTATGCAAGCCTTTTAAATGCTGACGCACTTCGTTATATAAATTTTTAAAAATCAAAAGTTAAATATCAGTACAAATCTCAAAAGAAAAGTCCACATTTGGGAAAGCTGTCAAGCTCATGATGACGAACATAAGTTTTCAAAAATTCTAATTTTCACCTGAATGGTTGAATGTTATCATTGGCAACAAATACTGTCGATGATTTCCATTGAAGTGACAGGCTGACTTTGTTTAGTTTTGAGAATAAGTCTGCCAAATACACAAGTCTGAATAACCACAGTGCCTCCTGCCACAGGCCTTCAAGGACCATAGAGTAAGCTGGGAAGTCGGGGTGTCACTTGAGCACAGGGACCAGAAAAGTGGCTTCCCAGGGTACAGACACACTCTAGTCTAAACCTGTCCACTTTAAGGTTTGTAGACAGAGCCTTTTGTTTTCCTTTTGTGATCTGTTTTCCTTCTGAAAAATTCCAAGCACGTTTTTGTGGCTCTTGCTCTGGCCCTTGAGGGATCAGAGCTCTTTCCTTACTGAGTTGGGATCAGACCAGACCCAGAGACCCAGGAGAAGGAGCCCCAGCCCAAGAGCAGGAGGAACCAGTGGGAAAGGTTCCCATCCGGAGTGGGAAACAGTGCAAAGTTCATCCCTATAGCTCCTTCTGACGAGCCATCAGTTTACAGCTTCAGTCACCGGTCTGAAGATACAAAGGTGGTGCCTCTTTGGTAAACAAATTGCCATTTACTATGAACAGTTTTCCAGGTGTGAAGGTGGAGGCTGGCCTGAGAAAAAACTGTCAAAGAAAGAACCCCATGGAATCTGATTTATGACTCTGTTGTGTGCTGCTATTATGCAGATATTGGTTAGTGTTTGCCTCGTGTCAGACATTAGCGGGCAGAGGACTTCAGCAACAACGTATACATATATGTGAACAATCTTACATACATGATGAAAGCTCTGTTCTCTCCCCCAGAGACCTCATGTGCATGTGTCCATGTAACAGTGTGATTCATACTACAGTGAATTTCTGTTCACATAGATGGATGTATGCGTACCACACTAGTATCTGTGTGTCCTGTGTGTATTTATCTCTTACATATATAAGCAGCAGTGGCCATGGAAATGATTTATTCTGGGACCAAGAAGATGATGTTAACAGTAAAAGTACATAGAGTTAGATCACGTCCTTCTTCTTCTTCCTCTATTCTAAAAATAATTTTATGAACAGATACTATATGAACATGATAAAAAAAAATTCATTAATTAGCATGGAGTAAAGTGAAAAATAAGTCTCCCATCCTCTGCCCCAGGAATGAATATTACCAGTTCTTATGTATTCTTCAAGAGATAATCTATGTGTTAAAAAAAGAATACATACACACATCCCCTTTTTAAAAAATGTGTTCTTTTAAACTGTTGAATGGGAGGGTTAAACAGGAAAAGATCTTCTTACTTCAGCTTCATTCTCAGCCCCTGTATGTAAGCACAAATTCCACACACGTAGCTGTGTCTGTGATTTACACACGTGTAGGTTTTGTGCTGGAGGACAAGGTTTTTGTTGTAAGAAAACTTCTGAAACCTAGAAAATGGATTTCCTTCCCAGTTCTCCTGGTTATTAATCTTCCTAAAAGCTCAAGACCAATAAAATTCCCATATCTGAGACCTTTGTGGTATATCCCAGAGGCAGGTGAGAATCATTCCTGTGTAGTTGTCCTCACTTTCTAATTTGTCATCAATTCTTAAGAGCAATCCAGTAAAGGTTTATTTAGTACAGCTCTCTGTTGATTTTATAACCAACTGCTGACTGCTTGGACATAAAACCCTTGATGATTCACAAGCAGTAAGTGGGCAAGAAATCCATAAATCACATTGTCTACTAAGAGAGTGTATGGGAACACACACACACACACACACACACACACACACACACACACACCTTTAAAGGGAGAGTTGTAGGCATGTGCAGAAAATATTGGGTTATCAGAAAAGTCATGACGCATTTTTGCAACGAAAAACATAGAAAAAAATACATCATGACTTTTCCAACAACCCAATATATTCATTTAATTTGAGGAGAATTGAGAGCTTATTGGTAAGAGGCTCATAGTCAATGACCTCTGAGAATTAAATTGTACCAGGTAATATTTTCATAGACAGCAAGAAGCTTTGCCCTTTATTTCTTAAAGAGGAGACTCTGAGTTCCACTTCTGAAATGTTTAAGGAATTTTCCTGGTCTCTGAAGGAAATAACTTTTTTTTCCTAAGAAGTTTTATCAACCAAGCCAAAACTGCTAAAAGTTGTCAACATTTTTCTGATAGTCTTGAAATTATTCTACAACAGATATTTCTTAATTAAATACTCATTTATGCAAGTTTTTTTCTAGGCCTGTGTTTAGAAAAATCTCATACTATCTTAAAGTAGGAAAAAATGTTTCTAATTCCAAGAGTCCTAGAGTTTTAGGGAACCGACAGAAAAGGAAATATGAAGTGAAAAATCTTGAAAACCATTTCTGTTTGGAAAGTGAAATTTAATAAATATGAATCTGCTACCATGAATAGTTTGCCAACTGTGTACCTCCCAAGTATAGTATTGTGTAGCTAGAAATTTAGACTGCATTTCGCAAAAAGCTAATCTCATTTGGATTCTAATTCAAACAAAACAAAGAGGTAAAAATAAAATGAACAATACAGAGAAAATTGGGGAAAGTTGAACACTGACTAGATATTTGATGACATTAAGAAATTATCATAACTTTTTTTTTAAAAGATTTTTATTGGGGAATTGGGGGGATGGGAACAGTGCTAGGGAATTGGGGGAAAGGTAACAGACAAGGTGCTGTCGTTTTGTTCTTCAGTCTAGTTGTGGAGGACGTTGCTTCACTGGCCCAAGTTGGCACCATCATTGCGCTCTTCCCAGGTTAGGCAGATCAGTCG